GGAACTCATTATTTCTTGTGAAATTGAAACGATAATAATCGTATAAGCATTGTGGAAGGTATGTTTGTGAAAATACATGGTTACAGAGCCCTAAAAAAGAATTCAATTAAATTCGAAACGTCGTCGCCAAGAAATCAATTTTTTTTAAGGAAAAATTGATCCACTTACCCAACCAACCGTTTTTCAGAAAAATTATTGGATCACTAAACTAGTTAACTGAATAAACACACTATTTTTAAAGGGTCTGTTCTGGGACAATTTTTATTAGTTTAATACTTGAATGATATTTGTAAAGTTATTAAAAATTGATAAAGTGAACTTTTTCTTGACGACACTTGATGGTTATTGAATATTGACAAAGTGATGTAGAACATCTGAAGAATTGGTTAGATTATTTCAACAAATCTAATGGAAATACTTTACCCATAAACACCAGAAGTAAAACACTATAAACCGATGCGCGTTTTGCTAAGCAAGTTAGCATCATCAGCATCGAGTCAATTTTTCCAAATGGAATTGTTAGCCCGTATGCAAATAATGCGAAAACTCAAAATTATCTGCAGCTGGAATTTTCTAAAGGTGCTAAAAATTCCTTCGAGAAAAGTCATTTGATTGAATTGAAAGGTGTATATTTTCGGGAGAGATAAATTTTTACGAAAACATGGTTTTGGCTTTCTACTTCTCCATATTTATACAGTGTCATCCCCAAAGTATGCTCCATATGGGAAACTCATTTATTAAGGGTTTTTCGACAAAAAGTTTTTGTGATAAAAGTTTGTGCTCCCCCTNAGGTATTTTAATTTGAATTTTGTGAACGACATACATTTTAGTTCCAGAGGTAGAGTTGTACGAGGTCAGTTCAAAAAATAAGGTGAATGTTCAAATTTTGTAGGCTACGTACTTTTGATTAGCGATTTTTTTATGATGGAACACTTGTTTCGCACATATGTTCACGGTTTCAGCTATTTAGCATGTTTAGTTTGGTGAGAGGCATAAAAATCAGAAATGTTTTGCGTGTTCGGCGATTTTCGGCTATGGAAAAAAAAGGATGAAAGAATTTGCATCAAATTTTGTGTAAGAAATGGAATTGAATGCTCAAAAACACTTGAAATGTTGACAGTGGCATACGGTGATTGTGCTCTGAGTCAGAAAAATGTTCACAAGTGGTACAAGCTTTTCACAAAAGGTCGAGAAGATGTGAATGACGACGCTCGCTCTGAACGCTCCAGCACATCAACAAACGATGAAATGTTGAGGAAGTGAAGAAAATTGTTATAGAGAATCGTCAAATCACTATTAGAGAAGTTGCTGAGGATGTCGGCATATTGTTCCAATCTTGTTAAATTTTGACGAAAAAACTTCACATGAGCATCGGTCAGGACGTCAGCGGTGATCCAAATTTGCTTAAAACTGTCACAACTGGGTATATACTTATGACATCTAAACCAAAGTCCAGTCGTGCCAATGGAAAAGCCCAGGAGAGCCAGTGGCTAAAACACTGATTACACGTTCGAAGAGGCTGGTAGATAACGAACACAGACATCAAGAGTTGAACACCATCGAGACAAGTCTACGAATGAATAACTACTCAGAGAAAATTGTAAAAGCGGCTTCCAAGACCACACGGAAACAACAGAAAACCCGAGATACACCAGTCATAACAATAAGTACACTACCATATATTGAAGGAGTCACAGACAGAACACCAGAACAATAAGGTCCATGCTCCGTAATCCTGGTGTCCCAAAGAGTTTTGAAAGTACCATGTTAAGAGTATGACAAGACTTACATCGGCCAGACCATCAGGCGAATCAACATACGCGAAGATGAACACAACCTAGCAGTGAAGAGAAAATTGACCACAACTTCTCTCTTGCAAAACATATTGGCGTCAGGATCACAATAATACTAGCAAACAATGGAAACGTCTACTCTCGAACAATCAGAGAGGCTATCGAAATTGAAAAACGACCAAGTATCATGAACAAGAGGAATGATGCAAAGCAAACTGACCAAAGCAAACTGACTGTACAACCTCAGAAGCAAAACTCAGCACATGACAATACAGGTATAATAACAGAGGCAGGCGAAGCAGATCAAAAAACAGGGTCAAAATAGGAAGTCGAGCAAACACAGGTAGTGGTAGCCACCCAGGTAAATGGGAACATCCATCCCTATACATTATACATTAAAGCTTGTCGCTCACTTGTCCGGCACAGAACTGCACGGCATACTGAATGTGCCGTTTGTTCGATTTCAAGGGAATTTCAGTTGAAATCATGCGGTGACAGAAACATGTCTATCACTAGCAGTTCTGACGAAGAAGTCGTCATTATAGTGGCCGCATTATTGAATGTAGGAAAAAACAGTCACAAAAAAGAATGTTGTGGGTCCATCCCATTAATCAAAAGAGGGCAAATCTGAGAGAGTTTCATCATCTTTTCAAAGATATGAAAGAAGACGAGAAGAAATGTTTCCAGTATTTCTGAATAACTCTAAGCATATTTTCAGAACTTCTGGATATTCTAGAGCCTGCCTTAACAAGCAACTCAATTTTTCCTCGTTTATTTTCTTAGGTACCGTCTGACACTGTGCTGTCAACTGATGGAATAGCAAAACAGAGAGACAGAAACTTGGACACGTTTGGAGAAGTTGACGCTGGCCGGCGACGCGCTCACTTGGCCAGTCCGTCACAGCACCTACCGTTATTTGCCGGACAGGATCGGAGAGCTGGAATCCTCTCCGGCGGCGGACGCTCTTGGCTGTGCCGTGCCGGGATAGTTGGCGGTTGTCCATTCATTTTCATTGTTCCATCATATCACCAGAAGATGGCAACGGAGAATTTTGCCGAAACGTTGTGAAAATAATCCTTAAGCAAGAGATTTGAACTTTTTGTACTATTGAACACGACTTTTGTTACATATTAGGCCGTAAACACAGGCGGCAAAATTAAAAATAGAGATATCTTGCCTCGTTCAATAGTTGAGAGGACTGTCCGCACTGTATAATTGAACAAAGAAAATTTTGAATAATTAATGTTTCTCTGATATTTGACTGAGATATGCTGTCGGGAAAACATGAAGTCAAAACGCGAGAAGTTTCATTATTTTACTTTAACAAAAAGATCCAACTGTTATTAATATACACAGAAATAGTTTCTCGCAATAAAACACCCCATTTATAAAATAATGATTGATAAGAACTATACTAGTTTTCGAGATGTAAAAAGGCATTCATCACAGTTTGTGTTTTTTTGGTACATTCATCGCTAATAATGATAGAATGCCGCCATCACAACTATTGCTATCTGTTTAAAATTCATAAAAATTAAAAAGTGTAACAACTGAGAATCATTGAAGAGAAAAC